TAGAAAAGAACACAGTCAGGTAAATTTTAGAAAAGCTTTTAAAGAGAAGGTCATAAACTCACAAATTAAAATGACGAGTTCTTGCAATGGCTTAAAATAAAACCCGGTGAAAGAATCTACTTTTAATTACATGTACTAGAAGGGTCATGTTGAGCTAGCATTAATATGCATGCCTTCTTGAACAATGAAATATCCCCCTTTTGGCTTGGTCTGATTATTTCCTTTTACTTAAAATTATTAGAGGGTATCTCACCTCACCATGATTGTAGAAGTAAGAAAGAGTACCTATAAGTCCACCAAGAATACTGCCACTGAAATAAGTTACAATGACAAAACATTAGTCCTGTCTGTAAGTTTCAGAAAAAAGGGGAAAAAAAATAAGAAAGGGATTGGAAGAAAAGAAGCAAGATACAACAGCTGTAGAAGCACGGAATGAGAGATGAGATGGACTTAAAGGAACAAAGGGATGGAGTAGGGAACGAAGAGACGATGTAACAAGCAAAGATAAGGAGATAATGGATGGGGAGAGAGGAAGAAGATAAGAGTGCTGAGGAAAGCTAGACACTGTTGCTAGGAACCTTAAATAATTCTCACCTCAGATAAAAGCAAAGTAAAAAGAACATGGACATCATAAATCCACTAAGATAAAAGATGGCATAAACATAGAAAAATGATAGCTCCCCCATACCTGAAAAAGTAAACCATATTTTCAAAAGTGAAAAATGAAATATAAGCATAATGTTGATTTTTAAGAATTAACCGTAAACAAAAAGTGAGTTAATACTTGAACACCCATAAACAAAATTTAAATAAATAATAAAAAAAGGAATAAGCAAATATAGTAAATACATGCATATAAAATAATAATATTTTTGCTGTCAGTGATGCTTTGCACTGACAAGTAAGACTTTGCCAAAAATTTCACAATTTTCAATATTTGTATCAATAATGCTCCTTTTATCTAATCACTCGGGAATTTTTTTTGATACTGCTACTAAATGGACTCCTCACTTCTCCCCAGAAAAAAGTGTCCATTTATGAACCCATGTGTAACCATTACCCTTTAACAACTTGTATATGAAATTAAATTTAATAATAATAATTACCCTCGGTGCCAATCGACTGTGGCAGAGGACTGTTCACTTCTATTAAAATTATGACAAGGTTAAATACCTCTTTTGCTTCTTGACCAGGTTATGGCAAGATCATAAAATTAATATGTCACTCTACCATTTAAATGTCTAGGCAAAATCCTATGTGTTACCATTCCCACGAAACCTCTCTAGTAGTATTTTCCATGCTCTTATTTATTTGGTATGTTGTTCTAATTTTTGAGTCTGTGGATGAAATCCTATGGTGTTACCATTCAAATAAAACCTCTTCAGCAGTACTTTCACATGGCACTATTTATTTAGTTATATGTAGTTCTAACTTTTGAGTCTGTCGATGAAATCTTATGATGTTACCATGCAAATGAAACCACTTTAACAGTACTCTCACATTTAGTTAGTATGTACACGTAGTTCTAACTTTTGGGTCTTTCGATGAAATCCTATGGTGTTACCATCCAAATAAAAGCTCTTTAGTAGAACTTTCACACTGCACTATTTATTTAGTATGTTGTTCTAACTTTTAAGTCTCTTGATGAAATCCTGTGGTATCACTATTCAAATGAAACTGCTTTGGCATGGTGCCATTTATTTTGTAGAATTTTACAAAAGAGTAATTTGAATGTTTTGGTGAATTTTTTTTTCTTGGTCACCACTAGTAGCAAAAGGTGAAGTTAGCTCTTACCCTCACAGCTTTGTACAGGAGGTAAGTTATAACCTCTGTTAACTGTATAGCAAGTCTTAGTGTGAATGTTCATGCTTCTTGTTACCCAATCATACATGCGGAAAGCAAATCCAAGAACAACCTGCCAGAGAACAATGTCATTTCTTGCTTGTAAAATGTACTGTAATAATATAAACCATATGCAAACCTTCTGACAGGTGCAGAAAATATTGTTGTAGGAACATGAATGTATCTCAAGTTTTATAAAAAATTTTTTGCCTTTACTCTAAGATCTAGCTATCTGATAATGCAAAGTGGTACTCTAAACAATCTATAAGAAGAAAAAATTAATAAAATCTTTGATTAAAATGTTAATCCTTGATCTGAGCATATTGGCCTTTCAGGAACCTGTGAATTCAATTTAAAATCTTATGGCTGGCGTGTCTTTTCCATTGTGGCACCCTATCTTTGGAACAGCTTGCCCGAAGACATTAAGAATTCCAGTTCTACTGACATTTTTAAAAGTAGATTGAAGACTTTTCTATGCGTTTTACACATAGCTTTTTATACATAGATCATTACTTCTTTATTGTTCTCATCGTTCCTTTTTTTAATATTTTTAAAGTATTCTTTTCTTAATTTGTATTGTACATAATTTTTCATTGTCTAAAAATTTATTCTCATTTGAATTAGTTAATCTTTGTAAAGAGAACTTTTGAGTCCTGGAGAAATAGCACTCTACCAATGCATTATTATTATTATTATTATTAGGGCACACACCCCTTCAATAGACCTTTCCATGGGATTTTTCAAGGTTTTGATAAAGACCAGTAAGCCAATATCCATTGACACTGCCGGGAACAGCGCCTTAAAACTGAAATTAGCAAATTTACAAACTTGCCCCCAATCAAACAAACATCTGTAAAACTCCGTGACTTTGTGGAGCTATACCTTAGTTAGTTTCCCACAAATCACTTTCAAACTCAGTAACTATACCTGATTTTTAGTCTTTCTTTCCAGCCGTGTTAATGGATTTTTGCCCAATGCTTCCAGTCAAAAGTTGAAAAAAATCCTGGAAGGGTCTATTATCAATAAGAACAACAACTTACCTCGGGATATAAATTAAATCTTTTTAGAGTGTTAATGGTGTCTGGATATTCTGTTATATTACAATTCATAATGGCATGAACTCCCTCAGCAAATGTTGGTGCTTCCACAACAGTTTTATAGTAAGAGTAGTAGAGACCCTGTATGAAGTAAAAAGAAAACTAGTAATATTCACCAGTGTGCCACACACCATACACGTGCCACCATATAATATACTTAGTTGTGGGGGCTAGAAGCCATTTTTTGGGTCTGTTTCTTACACTGAGATTTCTTATAATAATGAGGGGACGAATTGTCCCCCTTGGCAACCTCTAGGAGAAGTCCAGCCTTTTAGGACATCACAGGTGGCCCAAGCGTAATATGAGAGGTTGTGTGGGAAAAATAGAGTTTGAAACTTAGATGAAATAAATGAAGTAAAAGCGATAAAAGTTATCAGTTAAGTGTTAATATTGTTACCTGGATTCGTTGTCGGCTTCTTTGTTTTTTTTGTTGCTACGTTCATTGGCCGAGTGAAAACAAAGAAGCCGACCTTGCTCGGAGGTGAGTGCATAGAGATTTGACATAACGAAGTAATGTCACCCTCTCCCGGTGAGTTATTATTTGACGCTAGCGCCCAGTCACCGCCGAGCGACAAGACGGTTGAAATGTTACACTTTTACTAGTCACGGATAAGTGGCGCCGATTTTTGAACTGTAGTTGATCTTTTCGATCGAGTTATGCGATCCAAACGCAAGGTTTACCAGAACAGATTGCAGGAAGGTGATCTTAAGGCATCACTTTGTGGATTCGGTGGCGTAAAATGTAAGTGTGTTTGTTTTTTCGCGAGAAATTTGGAGCTGATTCTGAGCAGCTTTGCAGGTCGATTGAGCGATTCTGTCCTACCTTCTCTCTTATTATTACAATGTCAGGTCAAATGATGTAAAAGTACTCAAATCGCGCTGAAACTTCATAAAAACAAACACAATGACACGAGGTAACAATATTTACTCTTTATTAATAACTTTTATCGCTTTTAGTTCAGTTATTTTATCTAAGTTTCCAACTCTTTATTTCCCATACAAACTCTCATTTTACGCTTGGGCCACCTGTGAGGACATGAGGCAGGCATGTCCCTGGGGTTAAGGGGGTGGGGAAAATAAAAAAAACCTAAGACAATTGCAATCCCTAGGGGTTTTTCCAAGGGGGTGGTAATGAGCCACGCATTACACGTGAATGTTATAAAACACACTAGATTAATTGAAAAAAAAAAACAAAGAACATAAAGAATATGTAGTAGTTCAAATAAAAGGAACATCAGAAAAACTCACCATTTCAGTTCTGAAAGACAATTCCCTCTCTAGAGCAGACAAATGCGAAAAAAATCGCTCGTTCTCAAACATTCTTGACACGTGGTAGCTTCAGGAAAATAAAAACAAAATGATTTTTGCTACAGTATCGATATTGAAGTCAATATTGACTTTAATCTGATATGATCAATATACCGTACGAGGTCCTTATGTATTTTGATACATTACATTTCATAATTCTAAATTTATCAATATAGTACATAAAATAGTGTATAAATCATTTCGCAGAAATAAGTTTACCTTTGAAAGATCCCAAAACTTGCAGCTGTTGGAGAACAAATAAAGAGAAGGTTAATTATTAAATGTAAAAGTAAGAATAGCGCATATATTCTTAAAGAAGTTAAAAAGTCAACTCTAGATTTTTGAAATGTGTCAAGAAGTAGATATTCTAGCGTACAAAGAAAAGAATAAACTGCAGACCTAGGATTAGCACCAAAGAAGCATAACCATATCCATACTTCCTAAACGGTTCAAGGACAGAGGTCGACGAATCAATTTTCCCGCTAGCTTCTTTGTGTTTGGATTTAAACTTGTTTCGCCCCGTTGATTTTACGAGGTAACTAGACCCATTGCTTGATTTGTGGGCTGTTTGGTTGGAAACTTGCTTTTTCTTTTTCGCGGGCATTTAAAAAAAGCTGAAATTAAAAACAATAACTTTGTAAAAAATAATTTAAAAGAACTCTTGATCTGTGGTCCAGTAGAACGTTGTCTGCGATGTGAAAGAGCCAGCGGAAGCTATTGTACTTAAATGTCGCCTCATGTAATCGCATCATTTTTTGACAACATGGCGGACGAGCAAAGCAAGCCTTCGGATACAAAAGAAGTTTCTTCCGTCAAGAAACATCATAAACAAACTTCATTAAGCTATAGTCGCCCAAAATATCGCGAGGCTCGTTGGGAAAGGGCCGTAAAGGTTTGTACTTTGAAATTTGAGACGTTTTAATTTTATCACAGCAAGAAACATCTTGGCTCTACCTTGAACGAAAAGACGAAAAGAATGTGGCAAAATTACCAAAGTTATTTTGTAAGATTTACGGTCGCATTCCTAATTTGTAATTGTAAGTATCTGATTACTTTTATTAACAGTTTGTTAACTGTGTATCAACCCAATTTTGCCGGTGTGATTCTCATATAAGCGTATCAACTAACAGTTTTTGTTAAGCGCGCTTAATTCTTTTCTTTTGTTTTTAAGGTTTACACCATAAATTTGGAATCTAAGTATGTTTTGGTTCAAGGTGTACCTGCTGTAGGTGCTGTCAAGGAATTACTGGAGCAATTTGCACTTTATGGAGCAATCGAAGAGTAAGCTTAATTGAGTGACAACAACTATTACTATTACTTTGCATAACAATAAAATTTGTGAAATGACAATACAGTTCCAAGGCAATGGCTTAATTTTATGTTAATCCAGATTTATTAGTTAAACTTCTTTATCGTGAAAGAAAAAAAATAAAAATTTCAGGCTGTTTCTCATTCAGTTTTTGTCACCAAAACTAGGTGAAAAGCATGACCAGAAGGTCCAAGTTCCCCCCTGAATGCTAAGTTCTGTTTCAACTTAACTAAGTTTTTCTCACTAATAAAATGCTTCAAAATTTGGTTTGTTATTTATTCATGTTGGAATCTGACAATTTTTGGCAATACTTTTGTATGTTACTTGTATTTTTTTAAGTTTAAGAAAACACAGTTTAGGATTTTTTTCAACTAGTCGAGTTTTGGTACTCTTAAACTAAGGCATTTTAGTAAAATCCAACTAGTGGTATATATTATCAATGCTGCATTCTGATTGGTTGAGCTACTACAAGGCTATATGTTATAGCCCACTAGTAGCGAAAAGCACCGACTTTGAAAACCAAAACAATGATGGCTGAATCGCGTTTTCCCAGCTGAAGTTGTTTTGTCTCGATATTTTTGACCAACTAGTTGGATTCTACTTAAACATTATTCCTCTCGCCCGCATAGCCTCTGAGTCAATAGCGGCCTTCTGCCTCATGGGCTATTGACTCAGAGCCCATTCGGGCTCGAGGAATAATTGTTAATTATTTGCTTTAGATATCTTTTCCTTGATGAGTATCCCGTTGAGCCCTCATGGCCTCTGAGTCAATAGCCCATCCGGGCTCAAGGAATAACTGTTGTTAATTATTTGCTTTAGATATCGTTTCCTTGATGAGTATCCTGCTGAGCCCTTCACGGAGGTTTACTGGATTAAGTTTCAGAGGATAAATTCAGCCAGGTATTGTAGGTACAAAGAGGTCCTGCCAGAGGGGGGTCCCATGTCACCCATCTGAATTTTGAAATGTCTCGTGTCGTTGTTTATAAATGCTTGTTGCTTTTTGTCGGCTTTGCCGTCACTGTTGCAATTTGGCCGAGGGAGGTTGTCTCTTGTCATGATTTCATTTTACACGCTGTCACTACTTTTTGGGCCATGTCGCTTGTTGGAATTTACCCTGGCAGGGCCTTTACAAAGTCAGTTTTGTTGGACTTCATGCATTGTTTGAAGTTGATGTTAACTGTAGGAATACAAATCTAAATGGAGATGGTCATATTTCCATTTGGGACTCCCACATAATGGAAGGAGGTCAAATATGACTAGGTGTGATAGTACAGATAATTTGCCACCTGTGTTTGTTCCCTGGCATCATTCCAGAGAGCTGCAATACCACCCTTCCCCACCAAAGTAATGGTGGAAACTTAATATGACAGTACAAATAAAATTCAGGAAACCCAAACATATGCAAACGACAGGAGTGGCTCAAATTTTTCTGCAGGGCATGAGAAATTGGTCTGCAGGTATGAGCTGGTAATTTTAGTTGTGTTGTGCTTAAGCCATGCCTGGTGGCACCTGGTGCCTTATATTTGCTACTGGGTGACTAGAAAAGTTTCATTTTTCATAAAAATCATATACTGGATTCCCTGTGTTCAGAGCAGTGGGCTCCAGTCATTTTTTCTTAGAGCACAGCCTTGTTGAGATTAAAGTTTTTGGGCTGCAGGCATGAGACGTATTTCTAAGGGGAGGGAGAGAGCAGGTAGGTGACACCAGTGTGTCGGGGTGTATAGTCTTTACCAAGCAACAACAAATAAAAGGACCATGGCAGTTAGTAAAGCATGAGTTCATTGTTGTTGTGATTTGTTTTAGGTTTGCCAAGAAAAAGCTGGACAATAAATCATTCTTTGGAGGAATATTACATGTGTGTTATGCTCCAGAGTTTGAAACGGTCAATGACACAAGAGAGAAACTTCAGGAGAGAAGAAAAGTTATAGCAAAAAAGACAAGAGGTTAGTTCTATCTTTTTAAAAGGCTAAAATCTTTTTTGCATCTGTTGAATTCAAAGATAATGGTCCAGTTTCATGAGGAGACACAAAGGGCTTGCACTGTAAGTATCCCGGAAGGCTCTATACAATTCCTTATAATTTTGTTATAAGGAATTGTATGGAGCCTTCCAGGAGACTTTTCTTCACTAGCTTAGGCGCGGTGGATTTTGTCACGTATGATCAGCGCGAGGTGTTTTTCCCGACACCCTTCTGTCAGGAAAATGTCATCATATGAAAGCAAACCAGACACGATCGCTTCGGCAGGCCGAAGCCGGCAAAAATAAAAGGCTTTTCTTCTTCCAGTTTTGTTTCGATGTGGTCAAAATAAATCAGGTTTGTAGGTTGTAGGTAATAAAATATTGTCTTATTCAGTTCTCAAGGACCTTTAGAAAACGAGATAATTGACTAGAGAAAGAAGCGTGAAAACGCTTTTCTGGAAGAAAATATATTTTAATTCTCGCAGCAATTTTGCGAAATCGCGAAGCGCAATATATTCAGTTTCTTCCAAAGCCGTCATGATTAAGCAGTGTAATGCCATCACAACTAAAAATGAATTTAGTTTGTATCGCAAAAGCCGCGAAAATAGAGATGAAACAAAAAATGGATCGGAAAAATTAATAAAATCACCAAAAAACCGTCTCGCGGGAGCTTTGTCAAACAAACCGTTGGTTTATTTAACCTAACCTGGAAAAGGAGACGTCTGCACGCAGAATACATTTCATACTACATGTAGTTGTGATTTCGGGAACGGACCTCGGGAGCCTCATTGCCGTAATATCTTCTACATTGCAGAAACTTCAGCAGAATCGCCCTGCTCGCGTGCTAACTTTCCGTTCCAATTATGACTATACAGTACCAGTGAATTGTTTCCAAATTTAAAGGGGCGAAATTTATTTCCATCAGCGCGTAGTTAGCTAGTTAAGTAATAATAATTCACAGCACTGTAAATAACACGGTTCTAGAATATCTGACGGCTTCGCGGTTTGTTCGTCGCTGCATGCGATTTAATCGCTTATAACCTAACAGAAAATGCATGAATACAAACAAGCTCGCTGTTCCACAACCCCACACTGAATTTTAAAAGAGAAGCCTTTCTTATAACGGAAGAATGTTGTAGAACAGCTTGTGTCTGAAGGTGCGGCAATAATTTTTTTAAAGGAAAATTACAAAACCTTAATTTAGATATATGTATCTTTACACAAGGCCTAAATGTGAAGCAGGTTTTTTATTGTTATATCGTTATTATTTTAGTTTTTATCTGGTTATATTTCTATACTTGAATGTAAATATACCCAAGGCAAATACTGTGTATTACCTTACCTTACCTCTGTGATGTGTGTAAATTTGTCTTTTGCTATGGTTTTAGACAATACGACTTCTCCTGACAATCAATTGTGCGTCAAAACAATGTATCAAGCGTGCGATAAAGAAATTGTATAAGTGCCACGGTGTAGCACTTTATGACAAAGTTTTAACTGGAAAACTTCTTGCCATATGATGTACACCTGTATAGTTTATGTTTGTAAGCTCTACCTAAAATAATCACTGGGTTACACTGCACCCATGGGTGTGCCACCTAAAGTGCAGCCTATGTTTGTTAGCTCTGCCTAAAGAATCACTGGGTTACACTGCACCCATGGGTGTGCTACCTAAAGTGCAGCCTATGTTTGTTAGCTCTACCTAAAGAATCACTGGGTTACACTGCACCCATGGGTGTGCCACCTAAAGTGCAGCCTATGTTTGTTAGCTCTACCTAAAGAATCACTGGGTTACACTGCACCCATGGGTGTGCCACCTAAAGTGCAGCCTATGTTTGTTAGCTCTACCTAAAGAATCACTGGGTTACACTGCACCCATGGGTGTGCCACCTAAAGTGCAGCCTATGTTTGTTAGCTCTACCTAAAGAATCACTGGGTTACACTGCACCCATGGGTGTGCCACCTAAAGTGCAGCCTATGTTTGTTAGCTCTACCTAAAGAATCACTGGGTTACACTGCACCCATGGGTGTGCCACCTAAAGTGCAGCCTATGTTTGTTAGCTCTACCTAAAGAATCACTGGGTTACACTGCACCCATGGGTGTGCCACCTAAAGTGCAGCCTATGTTTGTTAGCTCTACCTAAAGAATCACTGGGTTACACTGCACCCATGGGTGTGCCACCTAAAGTGCAGCCTATGTTTGTTAGCTCTACCTAAAGAATCACTGGGTTACACTGCACCCATGGGTGTGCCACCTAAAGTGCAGCCTATGTTTGTTAGCTCTGCCTAAAGAATCACTGGGTTACACTGCACCCATGGGTGTGCCACCTAAAGTTCAGCCTATGTTTGTTAGCTCTGCCTAAAGAATCACTGGGTTACACTGCATCCATGGGTGTGCCACCTAAAGTGCAGCCTATGTTTGTTAGCTCTGCCTAAAGAATCACTGGGTTACACTGCACCCATGGGTGTGCCACCTAAAGTTCAGCCTATGTTTGTTAGCTCTACCTAAAGAATCACTGGGTTACACTGCGCTCTGTGATGGACGTTTGCCTTGCGCTCTCTTCAGAGACAAAAAAGCTATAGTCTGTTTGGCCAAAAATCAAAAGCTTTGTTCCCCTAAAAATTTGACACCATATTGGGCCCCGAAAGACGTTAAAAGTTCCTCCACAATAGAAGAGTGTTTTGCTAGAGGTTAGAAACATTTGGCTTACATGAGTTTCAATATAAAGGTGCAAAAACTTATCAGCATAATTAAAGGACACAAACATTGTCATCAAACTCCTGGCATGTAGCCTGAATAAGCCAAGCAAATATAAATAAAGCATATAACCAGAAATATTCGTCAAATGGTCTCGTTAAGTAAATTATACTTCACTTTGCGAAAGAAATTTATCTCTTGTATCCGTGTTACGCATCGAAAAAGCGAGGAGTCATCGCATGACATTAGGTGACAGAGGTAACACCCACGGGTTTCACGAATTCCAATTCCACGATTTTTCGCCTAGCAACAAATTTAAAACTTCAATTCTTACCTTACAGTTGTCGGTTCATTTACCTTACATTCGCCAACACTAGTAAACATGGACAAAACGATGAAATCCAGCACTCTTCTTTCAGAAGTAGCAAGCCGCATGAAGTAAAATCCACCGATATATGCGCTGCATTCTCACCACAAATATAAACATTTGTCGTGGAGAAAATACGATGAGGAGGAAAAAATGCCAGATCTTCGCCTCGGCAATGTATTCCAGCTACCAAGCCGGCGTATCTCCAGAAGGTGGACTTGAAGTGGGACAAACCTTGTGATTTTTTCAGGAGCGCTTTGCGCGCAAACTAATTTATTCTGGCGCAAAATGAAGATTAAGAAAATGTATCTGAAATCTAATACACGACAAGAAAATTTTCACACTTTCGAGGAGCGCGACATATTAAATGGGATTAAGTTGGATTAGCTGCCAGCGGAGAAAACATCCCTGCGTGGGATTGTACTTCCAGTAAAAAGCCTCTGTGTCCTCTCATGGTCATTTCAGACTAGGGAGCTTTAGCATCGATGACGGCAGCAACAGCAAAAACGTCACTTTTAAAATGAATAATTTCGGGTTTTTTTTCCAGTTTGCTGAAAATGGAAAATGTAGGCAAATTTCCCTGGAGTTGATTTCTTGAGGACTGCACTCACGTTTGGAGAGAGAAAAAGAGATTTGTCGTCGCTTGTTTATGTCCTCCATAAAACTTGCAATTAGGCATTTTCATGTCGTAGTCATGCAAGGACAGTAAAGAAATGTACAAAAAAATGTGATGCACATGCAAAGTTGTTTTGCGTAATAAACCTATTGATTTTTTGACATCCTCGTTGGCATCGCCATCATTGTTGCTTAAACTCCCTACTATATTTAGGTATGGAAACTGTTTCCTGTCATCTGTTGTAATGGATGGTAATGATGGACATGGATGAAACTTGAAAAGTGTGAGCCAACTTTTTCAAGTTTTAGTGCTATGCCTGCAAAAATTATCAAAAAAATATTATCGTGGTTAGTGCTCCCTGATGGAATTTGCCTAAGATCTTCTTCATAACTCTACAGGAACATTTTGTGTATGGGTGAGGGCACTAAGACAGTAATGACTTCAGTACAGAATTGCCCTAAAGTAGTAATATCCTCGTGACATAAATAATTTATAAACCCTTTTTTCTTATGCTAATGATATGTTTTGCAAACTTATTTGCAGAGCTTTTTGGTGAACAACAGAAAAAAACGGTGACCAAAGACTCTTCACCAGTTGGCACTGAAGACTCTTTGCCAAAGAAACCTGCAGAAACAAGCCAAAGGATTCCTGAGTCTTCTTTAGATGACCAAAGACTGCAAACAAGCCCCACTGTGGAAACATCAGGCCTATCATATCATGCAAATTTTACAGACCACACGCTGCAGTCAAGTTCATCATTTCCAACCTTACTACCACCTCCACAACATCTTTATCCATTCCAATACCCTCCACCCCCTCCCCCATGGGACTTACCTCGGGTACCATCAGCTCATGCAACACTTCCAGCATACATGCAAAATTTCCCTCCTCCACCTCCACCTCCTCCTCCTCCACCACCAACACCTCCTTCCACTGAGCCATCTGTTCAACACAATTTTAAGACAAGTGAAGGAAGTCAACAAGAAAGGCCATTTACTGTTTACATGTCACAAGTCATGATTGGACCACAACTTGAGGAAGGGTAA